ATCGTTTTGCGTCATCAGTCACTAAACAATCATAGCAACGTATGTAACATTGCCCAGGGTGGTTATCTCTTTATTCAACAGTGTATTGAGATGATTCGTCAGTGAAAATAAATTCAGCCATTGCATAGAGCAACAACCAAAGGTCCCATGTGTCCGATGCATTTATAACTATGACACTGATTTGGAAGGATAGCACTGTTTTGCACACTTGTGGTCGAGGAGAACACCAGGTTACAGTTGAATTTGCTATCTGACTTGTTTGTCTCCATATCAAACCAGTAAATAATTTGTATTTCTGAACAGTTCCATATTTTTATGCCATTTCCACAAAAATCAGATCCCGGTTTAATGTATGTACAATGTTTTATATTTTAGCTAGAGAGAATTTAGGAAACAATATATGCTGTTGTTGTTGTTTTTTTCAGGCGAGCACTGACTTTAGGATGAGAGTATTTCAAACAATCTTGGAATAAAGTAATTAATTCCAAACCAAAGCAATGTTTCGTCAAAGGAATAAAACAATAGAATTTTCTGTGATCTTTGACAATTTCATAAGTTAAATTTTTTTTTTTTCAATATCAGTACCCCACCTTTTCTCCTAGCTGATATTCCACTGTTACATATTGTCTCTGCAATTTTAAATATGTTTTCATAATCTAGTAATGCATCATTTCAGTTACCAGCCCATGTTTCAGTAATACCAGACATATTCCAAAAGGTGAAATTCTTGTTATGGTCTCTATCACTGACATCGATTGGAAGCGTCCTTCTGTTGTTATTTCGTCTGGCTCCTTCGAGATAGGCGGGCGTGAACTCGACCCAGCTGGTTAACGTGGGACATCATTCCACAGACGATCCCCTCCGTTATTGTCATGATCATGTGTCCTGTGACTTTGAGGCGATAGAGTGTCTGCTTCTGGCTCATATCCAAGTATGTTACCTTCGTAGCTGAACTGTGCCCAATTTGCTCCTGTTTCGGGGTAACTGTGAACTTATTTGTTATGTCCACTTTAAGTGAGTGAGTATGGTTTTACGCCGCTTTTTGAAATATTCCAGCAATATCACGGCGGGGCACACCAGAAATGGGCTTCACACATTGTACCCATGTCGGGAATCGAACCCGGGGTTTCGGCGTGACGAGCGAATGCTTTAACCATTAGACTCACCACCGCCCGTCAAGTTTAAGGATATCTTTCATCTTAACTGAATTCCGTTTGTCCTCACAGAGACTTGTTCTAACAAGAACAGGCCCAGCTGTCTATCGAACGGTATGCAGCCTCTATTTCTGCTGGTTGTAATTAAATGAACACTCGCGTATGCATATGGTTGTGTATATACGAATCAGATCAGCCGTGTTATGTTCAGTTTTATGATGTGGAACTGGTTGAGATGATAAATTTTGAACATATTAATTGACTTATATTTCATTTGCCTACCCATGAGGATTCAGGGGAGAATAGGCCTCCAGTTCCCCATACTTGTCGTACTGGACATCTAAAGGGGACCAGACTCTGGGCCGGGATGATGATGTGTTATCCTGCCCAGATGCTGATGATCGTTGCTCGTGTTTCCAGTCACTGGATTATTTGGTCCAGGTAATGACTTTGTATAGGCCGCCATAGTATGGCAGGAATACTGCTGATTGCGGCACTGAACGTCACTCAATCATTTAATCAGTTAGGCTTCGACAGTGTAGTTTAGATTTCTAATAGACATGTGTTCATTGATCTACTGATCTGTAAGATTTAAGGCAAACACTTCTCAGTGTTCACTAATACCCCCATTCCGCTAGGCGGCGATCCACGGCGCTCCGTGAGAGCGCCATAGAGCGCCATACAGAGCGCCAAGATCGCCAAAAGCGCTAACGGATCGCTAACAGATCTCCATGATCGCCAAGGTCGCCGCCGGTTGACTCCCCTGCACAAAGATCCGCGGCGCTCCGCCCAGAGCGCCATCAGATCGCTAATTAATCGCCTAGATCGCCATCGGAGCGCTACTTGATCGCCATAGAGCGCCGCCGATCGCCACAAAAGCTGGCCTACCGATCTTCGGCGCTCCATGGCGATCTGATGACGCTCCTCGGAGATGCATTGGCGCTCCGTTTGCGCTCCGATGGCGCTCTCATTGTGCTTCACTGTTTGGTTCACGATTTGGAGCGCCACCCTGTGGCGCTCTGTGGCGCTCCAATGGCGCTCTAGGGTTTCACCCAAAAAGCCTTCCTTCTCCTTCTTCTTCGAGGCTGCTGGGCCAGAATAGCAATCTGCTGGTTCACGATGGCATGGTTCACGAGATTGTAAATCACTTGTAATATGGCAGCATCTCTATGGTTCATTGTGATACCCGTCTGCTGCCAAGCACAGAACTTAAGAGCGCGGCTGAACGCCACAGGTTTTTATAGGATCGGGCCCCTTTGCGGCGATCAGGTCGCAATCGGTTCGCCTAGAGCGCTACTTGAGCTCTAACGGATCTTCATAGATCGAACTCGATCGCTATCGGATCAGAGAAGAGCGCCATAGATCACAATGATCGCCATCGGATCGCCAATAGAGCGCCATTGGAGCGCATCCTGATCACATCGGATCGCGAATGGAGCGGGAACTGATCGTGCAAGATCGACACATTTTGGGGTGGTAGGGTGGCGATCAAGCGCCATCAAGTCGCTATCGGATCACATAGATCGCTATTGGATCGCTATTGGATCGCTATTGGATCGCTCTCTGATCGCAATCGGATCACAAGTACCCCGATATCGGCTCATTATATGGCGATCTATGGCGCTCCTTCAGATCGCGTAGATCACCGTGGATCGCCGCCTAGTGGAATGGGGGTATAAATTTATTTGAAAAGCAAATGGAAACCATGAATCAAGTAGCACCCACGGCTTCTAAGTGCAAACTGAGCAGATAACGAACCAGGAACGATATGTAAACACTAAATATTGCTAGTTGATCTAACCGACTGATATAAGATTCTCAATTGTATTTTAAAATAAACGCGTTCAATTTAGTTTAATTATTGATTAGATGTATGGGTCGTGTCATTTCAATTCTACTTTGAAAGCAAAGTCACATAACTGTGTGTCATATGCTCGTTTTTTAAAGTGCGAAATCGATGTTGATGACCTTCACTGGTAAGTCAATGCGTCCTTTCGTCAAACACTCTTCAATACCTACTCAGCAATCACACTCCAACTATTGAGGAAGCGCACTAACACACCCATAAATGGAGAGAAATGTAGTGCACATGAATTATCTTGTATCAGTTGATTATTTCCATTTATTGTATACTGACAAAGATACTACATCAATTTTTTATTAAAGTCATTACGAATCATCAGAGTAACACGGGGAACTTTAACCCTGTCATTGATTAAGGCTCAAGTGCACCAACTGGATTGTATTAGTGGGTGACATCAAACATGAAAAATCAAACACACAAGCAGCTTTGAAAGAGTTAACGGAAGGATTTGAACGAGGATATATGTAAAGGGAAGCAACTCCGCAGTACTCTATACTGCCCGAAGTGACGTAAAAGCAGCTCTGCTGATGTAATATATAAACAGCCTTTTCATTCAGGTTTCTCGATGGCTGAAACTTGAATGAATAAAGTAATGTAATGGTGTGTAAGTGTAAATGCTTCCTGGTGTATTCGGCACTTGTACTGTCTTAAATTCGAGTTAGTTAAGTCTCAACTGCAATTTCGTTCTTCTCTTTTTTTTTCAGTTCGTTATAGCCAACTGGTCATGCGTCGGACGTGCTTTGATCAACAAGGTTTCATCTTTTGGAAATAGGTTACTCTGATGAAGGATATTTTACTCTACTCAACCAGCAACAAACTTTGTCTGGATGAACGAGCGACTTCCTGAAGTCACTACTAAAAAGTGTTAAACTGCAGTAAAGAAAGGTTATTTGGTGCAAGGAACTATCATCTAACGAAGAAATAGTTGTGAGTTGTGTCACTGTGTCAAATTCAAAGTTTTATGTGATGATGCTGACTGAATTAATTAAATCTGATATAAATGTAATGAGTGGCATAACAAATTATAGTACATACAAATTTCCATTGAAGTGACTCAGCCGTGGTTTTGACGAATCATAATCGGGACGAATATTATATTATATTTCACGCCCAGATCAGTGGACCTTGACAAGGAAGGGTCCAGCATTTTTACTAAAATATCAAAATCCTCACTCAATGAGGGGTGGGGGGATTGTCTACAACTTGCTACATTTGGTTTTCAAAAGAGGGGTGCTAGTCCACTCACTGAGATACCATGCCGCAGTTCAACATGGATACCCCACTCAGACACAGTATACTGACTCAGAGCCGACCAGTCCTCATTTTATCCCAGAGCCAGACAGGGTAACAACAAGTACCATCTTTTAACGTCTTTTTGGTATGACGCGTCCGGGGATTGATCCGGTGTAAGCAACGTTTAACCTGGCTGATTGTGTATCACTGTATCCTTACAACATGCACCTTGTCCGGGCTGTATTACTTACGTGCTGTACCCGTGAAGATCCGGGTTAGAAGACGTCTCCAAAATTATCGCGTTGTCGCACTGTCGCGCTTTGGTTAATTTTGACACATTTTGCTTGTTTTTGGAAGGTCGGCAAAAGGACAACGCGACAGTGTCCCTTCTAGTATTCCGAAGAAAAAGTTTTATTATTGACTTACTTTCCTCTTATGCCATAACAATATAACAATATTGTTTACTGAAGTACTGAGAAGAATAGGTGTTCAGCAACCAATGCTTGCCATAAAAGAAGACTATCCTTGTCGTAGGAGGTGACCAACGGGATCGGATGGCCACGTTCGCTGACTTGGTTGATGCATGTCATCACATCCCAATTGCGTGGATCGATGCTCATGATATCAATCACTGGATTGTCTGGTCCAGACCGCCGTTGTATTGCTGGAATATTGCTGAGTGCGGCAAACAAACAAACAAACCTCACTCACTCACTATTATTAATGATCAGAAGTCAGAAAAAAACACCTTCATGCGGTATGTTTATTCATGTTTGTGCATCAGTGTACACTGCAATGGCATTGGAATGCCACTTTCATTAATTGACGTGTGTGAGCATTCCTCCATAACTTGAACATGCTGCTCCTCTCATCGGAATGGTTGTTGCCCTGGCATAAGCATCCATCCAGACCTGGTCTCCTTGGTTCAAGTGTGTAGTAGTGGTGATGGATGCTACGCCATGTACCTGCCCAGTGATATAACCACGAGCAATCATCGAACGTCCTCTGAAAATGCGGAGACCCATGTAGGCGCTAGATCTTACCATCACATTTGCCCAGAAGAGGTATGTGCCAGACACGGGGGCCGTGAATATGCCAGTAGCCTTATTATAAGCATTCCCCTTGTTATATAAGACGGTGTCAAATTTCAAAGCCTTTCCTTTAATTTGGTTGATGTCTGACTGAAGGGAAACGCTGTACGCCACGTCGGTTGCTTTATTGGAAAACAAAAATTGAAAACGTATATGTATACATTTCGATGTAGGAGTACCCCTCTATCATTCAACTTTTGAAAAATGATTGAAATGATTCTGTCAATAGGATTTACTGGAGATTATGATAGGTACTTTTTGTTCAAAGGAGTCACCATCGCTGTGTTGAGAGAAGTCATTCACTGCCAGGTTTACATAACATGGGTTAATTATGTAAATGTGTGAATGTAATGTTCACTATTGGAGATGTACCGTAACGACATTTCATATTAGACATTTTCAAATTATCTTTCAGACCTATTTTGAATCAAACGGTTTAGTAAGAATGGTTATGATATGATTGATTCATGTACGAACGTTCACCATAGTATCACATGCATAATTACAAATATTTTAACAATTAGTGTGCAAAAGATAAGACAATTAATATGGCTATGTCTAAATCCAGAGGGGCCACGGGTGACCCAGTCGTCTGAGGCGCCGTGTTTCGCTGTGCAGAGTTGCGTCCCTTGGGCACGCCAGAAACCTGTGATTGTGGGTTCCAATCCCGGTTCACCACGATTGTCTTTCTAGGTTTGTCAGCACCATACCCGTGCTCGTGTGTTTCACCGAAGTGGTAAACGTCTGAGACCTGCATCACTTTGGGCTTTCCTCCCACATTAAGCTGAAACGCCGCGATATAACTGGATTACTGTTAAAAGCGGCGTTAAACCCAACTCACTCACCAAATCCAGAGACCGTTTCTTCGGATGTTATAAAACGTTTATCATCACAGTCCATATACCGTACATATTACAAACGACTCTCTTATAAACTGTGATTTGATGAGGAATATAATATAAGTTGTCAACCGATCTCGAGGGGCATATAGGGGACCCCTGACGGCTCGGGGTACATAGGGTACATCACACTATATGCCCCGAGAGATCGGTTGACAGTGAATATATCTCACCGACATTCATTCATACAGACCCTGAATATATGTCCGAAGTTTCACCGAGTAAAACGTTTTGATTCAGCCATTTTCACAGCTACCAGACGAGGCAAATCGAGTTACTTCCCTTTACCCAATGCATTCGGATAAACACTGGTTCATTTCAGGTCAGCGATATTTATGCGAGACAAGCAAGTTACCTTCGGTGTGTTCCAATTGATTTCTCAGGGGGTATATGAGCGGCCGACATGTTAATTAATTGCCCTCTCCTTAACCAATCAGAACCTAGCAGTTAAATGTATGATGAGACAAGTAGGGTTTTCTACCTCTCAAGAACGAGAGTATGGAATTTCCTCAGTTTATAAATTTTACGATGATGGGGGATAATTTCGGTGATTCTAACGGGTCAACATTTCAGTACTTACCAATCTTCCTTTCACTCTTTTGTTGACTAGATTCTATGGCCTTCAGTTTTGTTGACATCACATCTACGGTACGTTGAAGTCGAAGCAAACTATCAAAAACACTTCCCTGTCTGTTGTGTACTGCAGGGCTGCTGGAGGCAGAGGCAGCAACAACAAACAACGCCAGCACAAACATACAACGCATCATGATCACTGGGCTGGGTAAGCATGGTACAGTAGAAGCCCCGTGTGTTTTATACCCTAGCTTGACGGAAGTGTCAATGTAAATATTGATTATCATCCACCAGGCATCATGATCTCTTTCTGCATGGTCAGCATCAAAATATGAACAGCTGGCGGGCCGTCTATCAGGTACGGACTTTGTTTTTTCTCCTCCATGTGAGCGGATATTGGATCGTTCCAAACAACGAGTGTGAGAATAGTATTTAACGCCGCAGTCATCGACATACCAGCTGTGTTGGATCCGGGTAAGAATAGGTTTTCAGCAACCCATGCTTGCGGTAAAAGTGACTATGCTTGTCGTAAGAGGTGACTAACGGGATCGGGTGGTCAGGTTCGCTGACTTGGTTGTTATAATAATAAAACGTTTATCACCAATGTCCATATATGCGTCCCTCGTTAGGTTTTATACCTAACTCAGGAAGCATACAACCCACATGTACATGTACCCCTCGTGATACTGCTGAAACATATATTATTATCTGAGATTGTATGAGGAATATAAGAAGGAAATATACCCCAGTCTCAAGAACGAGAGTTTATGTAAGCCACATGTAATTTCCTCAGCTTATAAATTGAACTCTCATGGGAGATGAGTTTTGCGATTCTATCGGGTCAACATTTCTGTAATTAAGTGATCATGTAACATTGGCCAGCAGTGCATCTTTGTCCCGTAGAGCGAATTGCATTGATTCTTAACCTGATGCGACGGACAAGTTGTCTGTACTTACCGAGAGCTCGTGTAATATTGGCGAGCAGTGCGTCTTTGCCGTTTAGATTAGATGTCATTGATAACATCTTCCTTTCACTCCTCTGTTGACGTGATTCTATGGCCTTCAGTTCTGTTGACATCATAGCTACAGTGCGTTCCAGTCGAAGCATGGCGGTGAACAAACCATCTAAATTGCTACTCGGTCTGTTGTGTACCGCAGGGCTGCTGGAGGCAGAGGCAGCAACAACAAACAACGCCAGCACAAACATACAACGCATCATGATCACTGGGCTGGGTAAGCATAGTATAGTAGAAGCCCGGTGTGTTTTATACCCTAGCTTGATGGAAGTGTCAATGTTATCATCCGCTTGTTTTACAATTTGGTTCAGAATTTGAAGCATCGTTATCTCAATTTGAGTAGCCAGCAATAAAATATGAACCGCTGACGGGCCATATATCACTTCCGATAACATGTCCAATTCCTGACATAGCTTATGATTTTGGACGTCCACAGTATATCAAAAGCCAACCCTAATGGTAATCACTATAACTTATAAGTTGGAAACACAGCACTGATGTTTTATTTTACATTTGTGCATATGATTCTGAAAATGAGCGAGTGTGAGAATATTGTTCAACGCCACTGTCAGTTATACTACTTGCTCAACTCACCACATATTGTATGACATGTGACCAGTGAAGATCCGGGTTGGAATAGGTCTTCAGCAACCCATGCGTGCCGTTAAAGGCGACTATACTTGTCGATAGAGCGACTAACGGGATCGGATGGTCAGGTTCATTGACTTGGTTGATGCAATACATCGTATCCCAATTGCATGGATCGATGCTCAGATGTCAATCACTGTATTGTCGGATTCAGACTCAATTATTTACGGACTGCCGTCATATAGCTGGATTTTGCTGAGTGCGGCGTTTAACAACAAACAAACAAAGCGTGACATGTTTTAATAAACCGTATCCATAATCTTAAGAAATCACTGCTAGACGCGGAATCCGTTGTACTATTCTGACTATATCATAATCATGTGTTCATAAATAACATTCAAATAGTGACGATGCCAAATGTTGAAAAGGTGAGCGTATCCTGCCCAACTGATGGCATCAGTCACAAACACATGCAAAGGCGAAAACGAGAATATACGGTACAAGTCAAACCGGGAATTGCATCGGACATCGCCTTTGTCACTGATGCGTTAAATTTGGAAATGTCCTGCGCATGTCTACAATAAAACATTTTGAAAACTTCAACGGGGCCTTGGAAAGTTTAAATCACTCATATTGTCATACAGGGGTTAGTCACTCTGAATCTCTATGCGTACATCTAAATATCATTAGCTATTTGACCATTATTGAACATACAGGTATTGTTTTTGTACCATTAAATCACCAGTTGATTTATCCCACGGTCGTGTATGTACTGTAGACGTATGTAATAAATGTGTTGTGTCGTTTGTTTCCAATCAGAAAGTATAACCTGTGAAGGTTGGGGAACCTCATGTCTTTGATATCTTACACTTGCGCACTTGCACATGATCGGCGATACACAAATTATGTAATTGGTTATTGGTTTGTCAAATGCATATTGGGAGTCTGTGCTTCTCTATCTTTAGTCATATCTTTTATCTTTTTCATTTGTGTGTGTGTGTGTGTGACGGGGCGGTATCTGTATTAGTAAGCCTCAAGGATTATTTTTAAACATCACGTGGGGCACTATGGATCTGAGCATAGAGAATAGCGCATCAAAACACCTGAAAACATTTCTCATGCCACCCTGCAGGATATGTGGTATACCTTACACCTAGGTGTGTAGCACGTGGAGAAGCGATGTCAGACAGATACCAACTGTTTCAAATCGCCTACAATAATGACTACACACCTATATCATTGTGACAGATGGTGGGTGTTTATTTCCACTTGATCGCCAGAGATAATTACTTGACACCTTAACAATTGTGCATGTACTTGTATGGTAACACAAGTGATTGTTGCATATGTTCACCACACGATTTCATTTTAATGTACTGACGATTCTCCGTAGTACTGGTGGGGGCGGTCGGGTAGCCTAGTGGTTAAAGCGTTCGCTCGTCACGCCGAAGACCCGGATTCGATTCCCGACATGGGTACAATGTGTGAAGCCCATTTCTGGTGTCCCCCGCCCTGATATTGCTAAACTATTGCTAAAAGCGGCGTAAAACCATACTCACTCGCTCACTCACTGTAGTACTGGTCCGTCTGAGTTCGTACATTCGAACATATACTCCTCAACAAAAGAAGGAGATACGCGCAAATAACTTAAAATTTCAGAAAATGTAAGAGAGAAATTAGTTTCTAGTTATATTACAAACGGTAGGGAAGTGTGACAGCAGATGTTATGACAGCGAACGATCTTGACAAGTGAATAATTTCATTTTTTTCCGAAAACATGTGTCGCCAGCGGGATTCGAACCCGCATCGTTTGATTTGATAACGTGTAATTGTCAACCTCAGCTACGGCGGCACATGAAGGTATGGTGTGAAATTAACTATTAAATATTTTCATAATTTTGCATTTGCTCAACAGCTCAAAATAATATTATATATTTTGTGTTAGAGCAGGTTACCTACAACAATATTCCTATTTATAGCAATTATATAAACCTTTTGCGAGAAATAACAAATAAGGTAATATATATATATATATATATCCCTTCTTCGGGGCTCTATATTATGGCCCAACGAAATTATGAAGAGCCGTGTACCATGCATTGTAAATGTCAGCTCGCGACGGAGCTTGGCGCACTTGCAACAGCAGTAGAGAACACATTCCTCGTGCATCACGCAAGGGCGACTCGTGCAGTAGAAATACAGACAACAAAGAGTCCTGGTGTATTTTTCGAATATTTTCAACAAAAGAATATTTTGTCAAAGTGTAAAAGTAGGGATGAGTTTTATTCAGGGGATTGTACTAGTAACTCTCCATTCCTTAAAAATAATGGGCCTCTGCTTATTTTTAAAGAATGGAGAGTTACTCGGACATTCCCCTCTAAGTAACCCTTCCTTGCACAACATGGAGTGGGGTTCGGTCAGTAATAGTGATGCCACCCAGCACCATAACCGATCCCGTAGGCTACGCATGTTGCAGACGCCGCATCGCTAGTTCATACACAAATGTATTAGGCGCCCTCTAAAACCTGTAGAAAGGCGCCCAGTGACAGTAGAATTATAGATATATTTGACAAAAGGTCAGATGTTATACTACGGTATTTTGCGTTGTGTTCTCTTCTCCCTTGGAAGTATTCTTATGTCTCTACATTCTAGGAGGCTCCTGACCGGGTTATTAATTCTAGTTAGAAAGAAAACACAAAGAAAAGAGTTAGGTTTAAATTTTATTTGACAAAACAAAACAACAGGGGCAAAATCCTAACCTTTTCTATTCCCTACGTAATTTTCCCCCTTCCCTACCTACTTAAACCTATTCAACCGTATAACTTAAACTTGTACTATTAACCACCCGTCTAACTTAACTCCCAAAAGTAAAACGTCTATAAACAAACCTATTCAATCACTACTCTACTTTTCCCCCACCTATACATCTTAATCTAACACCTCAATGAAAGCCCTAAAATAATAATGAATGATCCTGATTCACGACGCTGGAGTCGACCGTGCTTACCAGGTACTGGTGAGTGACGACTGACGATTCCCTTACTTACTTATTTACTTATATTGGAGATTTTACGTGCGCTTTCCGACTGCAACGTATTTCGCACACGAGTCCGGCCAAGCCATTTAATGTGTTTCCGAAAAGGGGAAAAAGTTGTTTGGCAATCCAGTAGGGGTGTTTTAGTGGTTGCTTATATAGAATTTTGGAAATTTTGAAATTTTGAAAAAATGCCAAGAGGGTTTGGGGGACGAACTAAGGGACCTGAGTATGGAAGTTTGTTAGTTTGATTATGTGGTCTGGTTTTGGTAGTTTATTGGGGTTTCAATGCGATTTGACGATTCCCTACCCAGGGTAGGCTTATAAAGCCAACACGCGGACCATGTGACCAGGAAAACGGACACAACCAATGAACACGCTCCTTACATCTCAGCTCTCTCAATCATGGCTTCCGCCTAGCCGAGCATACAAGAAGCGTGCCATCGTCACGTCTTCCCAGCCACTACGCCCGCGTGGGCATAAGCCACTACGCGAGGACTACAAAGATAGGTACTACGTCAGCCATTCAACTCACCCTTAAACTAACCCACCCACTCCGTTCTTAAATATATATATTTACCCACAAT